ATTCAATTAATCAGTTACAAAATTTCTTCAGATCTATCAGCAAAGTTTTGGAAAGATTTGTGAGCAAAATAAACACAATGTTAAACTGTTTTAAGTATCAACAACTTCTATTAAATGAGCTAAATTAAGAATCTACTGATATGGATCTAACTTAGCTTTGGGTCATATTATTGTCGACATGGACAAACAGGTTGTATCATRTGAACACATTAAAGTCTAAATTCCTGATTATTATTAGTTACCCTGAAAACATTATTTCTCCTCATTGGGCAATTTTTGAGAATCTGAGATGTTCCCATTTCCAGGAAATGAGGAGGGCTGTAATACTGTAATTAAATAGTTACGTGTTTGTGCTTGCATAAGCTAAAAAGTCTGAATGCTCTCAAGCACAGCCAACTTGCAAAAACCAGATTAAAAACAGACATTTTTATCTTTTTAAACGTGTTTGGTTATTTTGAAGTGAGGTTCTGTATAAAGGTTAAAAGGTAACTTATTTTTTTATTTATGTGATGTCTGTGTTTGCTGGAAACAGCARCAGCCATGTGTAGCAATTATGATCTGCTTGGGGTCATGTTAGGCAGGAATATCTTAATTATTTCAAAATAACTATTTAATGCATAATGATGACAATGTAAAGACTATAATAGCATTCATGTGAAACATCATGATATTTTTTCTTGAAACAGTAATTGCTTTTTTTTTTTTACTTTTAGTAATTGTTGCACTTTTTTTAAGTCAACAGCTGATATCCTATCACCACATCTCTATCTGGGCACATACCCCTGTGAAATATAATCAATATTAAAGTACAAAAAACAAAATAATTATTGTAACAGGGCAAGTAAATGAGTAAACAGAGAAGAAAAAAATCCCCATTAAGTACATCCTGTACTCTTGGGACAGAAAGGAATTCCCAATTCAAGAATTGTTTATGAGCTTCTGATTTCCAGTTTAATATATTAAACTGGCCATCAAGGTTGTGAATGCTTTTAGGTCCTTGAGAGAGAGAGAGAGAGAGAGAGAGAGAGAGAGAGAGAGAGAGAGAGAGAGAGAGAGAGA